TTAATTTTACGACCGAACATTGTCTGAAGTGTCACAATGACAACCACAGATAAGATCTTTCAACATATGTAGGGCAACTAAAAGCGACCGAAATGTCAGCAACCGCCGAGCAGCTGGTCACACCGCCCTCCTTGCGGTAAGAACGTTTGCAGTCAGGCTGCGATTGCTTGTTGTTTCCAGTGAGACAAAATTTTCATTTTGCAAGTGTGTGGGTTTTATCCAAGGGCGGATTTAGGGAATTACACACGGAGGGCGCCAGTCCAGTGGTAATCGCACGATTTATGTTCAGGAAGATGTTCACCTGAGGGGTGTACCGACGACTCAAAATTCAAGATGCGGGGGACAGCTGCTGCAAGGTTGGAAAAGCACCCTTATGACAATTGAAGGGCAGGGGTGGAATACGTCTAGGGGATGGGGGCATACCTGTATACGATTTACCATTTTTATGGAAAAAAGTCTCCCGTCCCGCGCACTCCATCTAAATAGTCTATACCATGTTCAATTTCCATACTATTGATTGACTCAGGCTACAGTATACTTCGTCACATTGCTGGTTACATGCCGGTTACAATTCTATGTAAAGGGAAGCCTTTTTTTTCCATATCTTCAGAATTGACAAAACAAAAAGACCCTATATACCAAACTATCTAACTTCCCAGGACTATCGTGGAGACCACTGCGTATTCGATACTTTAGAATGTTTCCTGAGCGTCAAATATAGTACTTTTGATGAAATATCAGGTCAAAGTCCTCCAGAGTATTTTCCAGATAATACTTCAAAATGATGCAAAAAAGATAAATGATCACATTATTATAGTACAATATGCGATACTGCTTTACATCGGAATATAACGTCAGATTTTCAAATCAATTCATTCAAAGTAGTAGTAGTTGGGTCGTTAAAATGCATGAACAAAGGTCATCACCCTTGCTTTTCTAGAATAGCTCTGTATCTGGATACCGCTCCCACTTAGAGAATGACTGTCCAGTAGCGAAATTAATGCTCACATGGTGATCCCTCCAGAAACGTAATGCGGACAGAAGGGCTGACCAACGTTAGGATCGCAAGTTCACATTATACATTTACAACGTACGATTGCCAAATCACTGTGAAATGTACAGCTCCCACCCCTAATCACGGTACTTTTTTTTTTAAATAATAAGAAGAACAGCAGAATCGGACAAAAGGAATTCTCATATTGTTATATTTGGTGATAATTTAACAATGACTGCATCGTTATTTTTTATATGCTTCACCAAGCATCTTTATACCTTTGTAACATCATATAACGTTATTATCAAACACACGGTATTATAACCATTAATGTCCATTTCTTTCGATAGCAAGCAAGCGCCAAAAAATGGCTATCAAGCTTTCTAGTGAAGAACTTACTATATATTCAACTATACATATCAAATTTGCGTCTTATATGTACTAAAATGCTCATACCGTTTTTGGTATGCTCAGCATGGCAAGAACGTTCGGCTTAAAATTTCATGACTTAGTTCTTTTCTGAAATAACCGGTGTTTCAGCCTGACAAAGGCTACTAAGGCCTTCCTCTAACTAAAAAGACATGAGATAAATATAAAAAAATAGTCACGTATACAGGGTGACTATTAAGTACTTGAAATTTTTTTAAAGTTTCAAAAAAAATCTCAGGATATCAAAAAAGTAATTTGTAGGTGACCTCAACTATGACCTAGGTAACGTCCGTGGGCCATTTAGATATCAAGTTTGTGAATTCAAATAGCAACCACCATTTTTGACAGCAGCTTTACGTCAAAAAAGATGAACGACCGCCCTGAAAACTTGAGAACCACGCATTTTTCAGAAATATAAGTTCTAAGAAAAGTCTATCAGAAAAGCAATTTGTCGATGAAAAAGGCATGATTGCCAATGGGGTGTGAAAGTACTTTTTAGGCGTTACAGTTGGAAATACTGATTAAACTACCTCATCCATGATGTAGTGTTCCGAGCTCGACACGAATCTGGTGCTAAAAATTATGGTTGCTACTTGAATTTACAAACTTGACCTCCAAATGCCCTCTGAGGTCATTGTCTACATAATATTTGAGGTCTCGGAAAATTGCTTTTTTGTTATTCTAAAACTTTCTTAGAACGTTTTTTCAAACGCAGGCATGGTTACTAATTTCTTACGGTGTTCAGGTATTTAATAAGTAGGTACTATATATCAAAATAGACTCAGAAGACATTGAAAAATTGGGTAATAAATTTTACACAAAACGGTTCTTGTGATACGAAAAAAGGAATCCGTTAATCGAAAAGGTATGGGCGGCAAACTAAGTCTGACCGATAATAATGGAAGTCGTAATTTGTTTATCATGGAATTCAAAACATTCGCAACTACAATACGTCCCTTATTCGTAGCGTTGTAAGTTAAAATAGCTTGTCACTTGTAATTCGAAAATTTTTCTGAATGCAATACTTAGTAAGTAAAACTATATTCGTGTTCATGTATTTAATAGGTATATCAAATGGAAAAAATACAAAAATGTATAATAAACTTTACATAACAGATTCTTGTAATACGAGGAGTACGTTAATTGAATAGGTACGAGCGATAAACTGATAGTCTGACCGATAATAATGAACGTACACCGTAATATTTTTCATGGATTTCAAATTTCAATAACAATAATTCCCTGGCGTTATAAGTTAAAAGAGCCTGTCACTTGGAATCCGAAAATGCTCCTGAATACAATACTTAGTAATTAAAAAATACGCAGCGAGAATGATTTTCATCCTGCTACCCTTTACAGAAAATTTCCCAAGTACGCGCATGGCATCGCCCTTCTGTGCCACCGCCACGGCAACCTCGCAGGGGGCGTCCCCCCAAAGGGCGCATCCCATCACTTCCCCCTAGCCCTCCATTCCACATCCCCTACCATCCCCAATCCCGAATTCCACGACAGTCGATTCGGCTCAGTTCGGGAGCCGCTCGCCTGCGCAGAGGGGATGGTGGGGTAACGTTCAACTCTCCCCCTACAGTCAATTGATTCGGAAAATTCCCGGTTTAAGCGACTGGGAGATTTCCCGTGTCGACGAGCCAGCCGTTTTTATCAATCGCGGCTTCGTAGAGAAAGTTGGGACGTCTTCGGAAAATGGGGTAATCATGGGAATGCCTCGATTCCGGGGAAATTGGATGTCTTAAATATGGACGATCTTATATCCTCAAGACCTTGAATTTTTTACGATAGTGAGAGATGCCAGATCTAGGTGACCGGCTTTCACCTTGAACATTCGTATTCTATTCCTTTTTATGTCAGATGCTATTCAGCCTGTGTTTAGTTCATGCAACTTATGTATCGAACTTTGCTAAGCACCAGACTTGGGTAGAATTCAAATATTCCATATTTTGAATCCTATTCCTATAGACAGCTCTTTCGTGCTTCTTGGCTACTCATCAGCATGGTCTAGGAATGGTCTCTCGTCTCTGGGACAACGAACGAAATGATCACGTCTATCGTCTAACCCTGACATACGGTCTATCGAAACACGATAGTGCAAAGTGCCATCTATCGTTCGCGGTCCAAGTAGCACGAAACAGCTGTTCATGGTTGGCTGTCTTTTGGTCGGCTGGACGAAAGCATCATGTTTAGTTTGTTCAATGGCTACTATACAGCCATAATCGTCAGCCGTCTACCGCTATCTTATTTCGATAGAACTATTTTCGCTTGTCTGCCTCAAATAACTATAGTACACCTTTACTGTACAGATGATACAGCAGGGTCCTGACTGTCGATTCTCGATAACCCCTCCCCCCGAGACGGACATCTTCCTGAAGATGAATCCTGAGCCCCCTCCAAGTACTTTTCTGAACAGGTAATTCCAAATTCGTCATATAGACCCCCGAAAATATTTTCTTGATCCGCACCTGGATGACTGCTAAAAAACATGGAACAACGTTGTATGCAGTTGGTTATGGTTACAGAGATGAAAAGCAGACCGATAATATCCAGCCATTTTGATATCTATGCACGATTTTCTCTGAACTTGCAGCAAACAAAACAAACAAGTACTTGCTGAACTATTCTAAGTAACGTAGAAGGATCACCAAGAACACCAACAATCTGGAAATATTCTAAAAACAGTTGGTGATGGGACAATTCCTCAAAAGCCACATTGCTTGGGGGATTTTTTATTCGACAATAATAGTTTTTATCTATGATTTCACACATATATTACCGCGCATATTTGTCCTTAAGGTTAAGAACGATATATATGAATATTTTGTACATAAAGTGCACTAGCCGCTACTCGTTCCACGCGACAAATTTTTACCTAAACCAGCTAAGCAGAAGCCAACGACACCCCAGTGAATACCACCGCAATATAATTTATTGAATATGAATAATAACGTAGAGTGACAACATTAGATCTGTAGTTATTCATGTGTGAAATAACCAATAGATAACCAGTCTTCTGCGAATATAAAGATATTTTGTGGAATGAAGAATCTCATTCATTTTTACCTCAAGCACATAATACGAGGGCGTGCGAAAGCGTTCCTCATTCATGTAGAAAAAACTAAACTCAGAATAATTTTTCCCCAATCATATTCATATTACATGAACAGCTGAAAGGGCTTCCATAGCCGACCAATGTTAACCTACGAGAACGCCGATTCAGATACTATATATCATGCGTATTTAAAGTCTATAATTACAATATTAATTTGTTAAGTCAACAACGCTTTTTTTCAATGATATTTATTCTTCTCTATGGCCTTATGTCAAGAGCGTACAAAAGTTGAACATGATGCGTATAGAAGGTTCATTTGTCCAAAATGTCGTGAGAGGTACATAGCCAGCCCGCGTGACTAATTTTTGGTAGATTAGAGTGCTTTAATGTTCGAATTCTGTTAGCCCTGCACCTACCTTCAAAACGTTGAAATTTTTCGACTATTACAAAAAGACAAAATACCCGTTAAATTGTTGCCCCTTGTTTTAGAAATATTCTATGTAAAGCAAAAATCATATAGCTTTTCAGAATAAATTCCCAAGCTTAATGGACTATCCCCTTGTTACAGGTGTGGTTTCAGAATCGCCGCGCGAAGTGGAAGAAACGCAAGAAGACAACGAACGTGTTCCGCACCCCCGGCGCCCTCCTGCCCTCCCATGGCCTGCCGCCCTTCGGGGCGATGGGCGACGGCCTTTGTGGATCCGGAATGTTCACCACGTCGGACACGCGGTGGGGCGCCGTCGCTGGAATGACCACCGGTAATTTTTTTAAAGCTTAGATTATAGTGAAATTAATACAGCGTTCTTAGATTTGAACCTGGAAACAAGAAATTTGAGTTTAAAAAAAAATTATTTCAAGCAGATATTTCACTTTTATTAGTACACTAAATCATATAATATTCCACTTATAGCCCTAAAGCGTAAAGCTATGTGATAATTTACAAGTTTTGAGAATAACTTTGGTTTTCGTTAAGTTATATGAGTCTATAAGGAGCTACGGCGAAGAGCAATGGCGAAAACTGTGATTTATAACTTCATGAAGTTATTATTAAAAGCAGCATGACATCCCACAGTTATTTAACCGTTAGAGCCTTACGCGCAGTGTAACATAATTTTGTGCTTGAAATTCAAATTTTTCCTAACCCAAAATCGCTTATATGACCAATCAGCATCGCTAGTCACATCTTTACAACCCCCTTCCCTTAATGCAATACGAGGTGGTCCCAGAAATACCCGGCCTGACCTAGAGATGGCGATAGTTGTTTGAAAAGTATCATTGCATTAGAAAGTATGCAACCTATAAAGCATATGTATCAAGTTTGAAGACGTCACTTTGTTTAGTATTTGTTTGGCAGCCATCAATACTGAACGTTTTCAGTGAATTTGTGAAAATGGAGAAAATTGGTCATCGTTATGTGGTACAATACTTTTATTTCAAAGGCCTCAGCCCAACCAATATAAAAGCTGAACTGGATTCTACTCTGGGTGAGTCTGCTTCTTCGTTTACAACAGTAACATATTGGGTAGCAGAGTTTAAACGAGGCCGTATGAGCTGATCGACCAAATGGGGTTTCGACTCCAGAAATGGTGGAGAAAATTCACAAAGCGGTACTGAATGATCGTCGATTGAAAGTGCGCGAGCTAGCAGACATAGTAGGCATTTCAAAATGTGCGGTTCATGGCATATTATCTGAAAATTTGGACATGAGAAAGCTGTGTGCAAGATGGGTGCCACGATTGCTCACAATCGAGCAAATCAGTCTCGTGAAGATGTTTCAATTGAGTGTTTAGCGATGTTTCACAGCAACAAAGCAGAATTTTTGCGTCGTTTCATAACCATGGATGAAACATGGGTCCATCACTGCACACCCGAGACAAAAGAACAATCAAAACAATGGACTCAAAAGGGACAACCGGCTCCCAAGCAGGCGAAGACCGTTTCATCTGCAGGCAAGGTATTGGCGTCGGTTTTTTGGGATGCGCGGGGGATAATTTTCACTGTCTATCTTGGAAAAGGTAAAACTATCAACGGCGAGTATTATGCGAACTTATTGTAACGTTTGAGCGATGAAATCAAGCAAAAACGGTCGCATTTGGTTAAGAAGAAAGTGTTTTTCATCAAGACAATGCACCAGCTCACAAATCCGTTATTGCAAATTGCTTCCTCATGCACCCTATTCACCGGATTTAACCCCCTCGGATTATTTTCTGTTTCCAAACTTAAAAAAATGGCTCAGTGGTCAAAGATTTTCCAACGATGAAGAAATGATGTCGGCAGGTAATGGCTATTTTGAGGAGCAAGACAGTTATTATTATAAAAAGGGTATCGAACTTATTGAACATCGCTGGGAAAAGTGTATAGAGCTCAAAGGAGATTATGTTGAAAAATAAATACATTTTTTTACAAAATTTTTGTGTTTTCTTCGTTGGGTCGGGTACTTCTGAGACCACACTTCTCAAAAGAATCTCTAACATAAGGTTTACAAATTAATCGTGCGCACTTTTTGATTTTCAATTGTTCATCAAAATGAACAACAACGTCCATGTCAACTTTTGTTATTTTATGACTTTCTTACTGAAGATATAATATTGCCAATTTATTTCTTCTGATATGGATATTTTAAAATTATCTTAAATCACTTGGGTAATCTAGATGAAACTCTGTAGGCATCAAGCGGCTAAATCTGTGTTGGTTATGCCAAAGTGAATTATGCCACGGAGGGTACTGTCAAATTTCACTGAATATTTTGAATTTCAACTAAGCTTTAGGCTCGTTTTTTGAAGGTATGGTCCTGAGGTGGAAACACATTCTTGCTTGTCTATTCATAAGCAATTTCTGAGTGAGGCTATAAGGGGGGCGGTGGGCCTGCTAACCCCCCACCCCCCAGACACGAACCGTACGAAATGCTGATGTAATTTTTATATTTTATTTCGTATGACGATTTTCCTAGTGAGATACATGCTTATTTTTTATCAACTTTCCTCCAATATTTTTTTTTATTTTACGCTTCAAATACTGAATAATACACGGTTTTTCCCGTTACAAAAATTTCACGTGCTTTCTCCAAAAAAGCGTAATATATTACGTGAAACAATGTTTGATCAGAAAAAAGTTCATCCACCCCCATGATTTTTTATGAATGCTTGGTTAAGCAACGAAAATCAAAATTTGATTGCTGAGATAATTGAGTCGGATATAATATATACAGGCTGTCCAATAAGTACCACGACAAACTTAAGGAGAAGGTAGGCCTTGGTCTGACCTCCCAAATAACAAAAACTTACTTATTGGACAACAAAATATAACAAATATACATGTAGTCCCTTAATTTCTACCATCGATTCAATGAGTAATTTAAAGGAAATTAGAAATATGTGAATTGAAAGAAATGAGGTTGAAAAGAAGCGACGTAATACTAAGTCATATATTTCAAAGAACGAAATTTAAAAAATATTAAATATAGTTGAAAGTCAAAAAGCGCACAAAATTAAAAAGTTATCCTTTTAATATACCTACAGAATTTGAACGCATCTGAATAAAAAATTCAAAAATCTATTTAGTGTACCTAAGTTCCAAGGTCTTCATTTTTCTACGACTATCAGACATCCACTATTTGGAAATAAAATTTTTAGAACAAATATTCAGTTCCTGTAACTCAACGAGACTAAAAAGAGGAATGGAACGTTTTTTAAATATTGTTCATTAGTGACGAAATTACGAACAAAGACAAAACTGTTCGAACGATCCCGAACTCCGTTTGTATGTGCTGTATAACTTCCAATAGTTTTTTTGTCGCTGTAAAAATAACCGTTTGGAGGCGTAAAGTTTTGGAAAATTACCAACATTTTTTTTTCGCCACATTTTAAGCGTACTTTAAGGCTTAGTTAAAGAACTTTTGAGGCTTCTAGGTTCTGGAATTTGACAAGTCTCTTTTTTAAGTCACACAGGCAGCATTAGTTATATTGAAAGGGCATTTTGTACATCTGGAAAATCTATGCGAACACATGAGGTGTAATAAACCAATCTACGTGGCATTCTCGATGACGCATAATATGATGCCAGACGGAAATTACTGATACTACAAAAGAATTTTTGGTAAACGATATCCTTCTAAATTATTTTTCCTTAGAGAATCAACATTATCACGTTCATTTCAAAAATGCCTAGATGTTTTCTCTACCAGTATCTACATTTCCTATATCTCTTCATTATTTTATCTTATCTTTCTTTTTGACTTCGCATGGTTTCTGGGTGAACAGTCCGACAGACTGCCAAACTAACTGACATACTTTGACACGAGGGCAAAGATCGTACAGACCGACAAATGAAACGAAAAATAGTTCTGATTGTAAGTCTATTGTTCCAGGATTGGGCCAATTAAGCCAAGGATCGATGGGCGGGTTTGGCCAATCGCTAGGCCAACTCAACCAAGGATCCGGCCTTAGCTCAGCACTTCCTATCAGTTCGGCTAGTACGGTTTACCAGGCGCACTATGGACTTAACTCCTTAGGTAAGTTATAATCATATAGACCAAGTGTAACAAAATGTTCGTATGATGCCAGAATAATGGTGCGTTTATAAAGTCGCCTAACTTAATTCAAATTCAAATTCAAATTCAAAATATTTATTTCGTCATGAATAAACATCATAAACAAAAGAAATTCTACATTTAGAGCAATGACAGAAAAAGGACAGTCTCTCGATTATAAAACCGATTCATTGGACCCTTTAATACAAAGAGTCCATGCGAGAAAGCCCTGAACACCCTAAAAGTCGTTAAACAAAATAAAAAAAACAATAAAGAGGCAAATGAAGAGGCGGTGAAACATAAAAAGGCAAAAACGAAGAAAGAACCTAACCTAATGCTGTACACCTCAGGATAAGTTTAGCTGAATAAGTTTATGAACCTGACATAGATTGACAAAATCCCGCAGGGTTATTATGTAAAAACCTATATAATGACAAGAAATCAGTCAAATGTCAACTTGTGCACGTAGCCGCTAGTTGTACGTTATAGCTATGCAATCGTTCAAAGTAAAGTCTGAGCAAATCAAAAGTTCGCCAATTTTGGCCTAACAAACAACAAAATAGAGTAATCTTGAAATACTCTTTGGGGTCTTGTAGAGCAACGTTTTGACTTTAATTTAGACTTTGTTTTTAAGCGTTGGGTATATTCATTTTTAGGGGTTTTCGGACAGAGAAAAGTTACTGAAGGCCTTTTTTGTTCAGAATGATCCAATGAATGTTAAAAATATTGTCAGCGTAAAATACTTACTTTGCAATTTGTGAGTCGTGTGACGTTGCCAGATTGTAGCATGCAAATTTAAATGTATGATGCTGATAATGTAATAGCAGCCTTACACGATCCAAAGCATAATTTTTTTTTCAATTCATTAATTTATTTGATTCTGTAAAGCGGCTATAATTTATGTAAATTGTATCCCCCTATAGCCCCACGGTACCGATGGGTGGTTACGCCTTAGGCCTTAGTGGTGGTTCAAGTATAAAAAACATGAAACAAGGGGTAGCTGCTCTTTAATCCGGATCAAGTATGTTTAAACAATTCATTTCAAATAAATTACAAAAAAAATGAATTTTTGCCCGGACAACAATTTTCAGGTTTTTTATATCATTCTGAACAAAACACGTGTCCAGTAACTTTTCCCTAAAGTTGGCCGTTTTCGATTTATAAGCGATTTGATGTCTGAAAAATCCTAAAAATGGGTTTCTTGAATCTCGGTTAAGGGTGGATTTCACCAGGATTGTCAAATCAACGGTCCGTTATTCTCCACCTATAGGGTAACAGCCCGTCAAATACAGCGAATGAGCTTCAAGTTCCAATCAACAAATTTTAGCAAACAATAGCTATGAAATGTTGAAAACAAAATACTGTCAAAGTATGAGATGACAGCTTGTCATTGAAACATCACCAGCTTATTGAATATTAAGAAATTACATATAATTTAGTCAAAATTTAAAAAGTCTTCGATTTTTAAATAAAATTCATGTTTTTATTTAATATTGTCGATTGTTTATTCATGTTTATATTATTTTCTTCAATTGATATGCGATTTTACTGATTCAACATCACCTACCGCGTGTTCTTTTCTATAAACCTCTTGCAGATAGTCATTAAGCACCTACTTGATCACAGGCTCTACCAAAAATTTCATAGATATTGCCCGTTTTCAAACATTCATTCATTTACTTGCCGTTCATCAGTACCATTATAGCACCGTCGATTAATATTCCCACAAAACCATTCAGGATTTTTGATATCCATACAACCATAGTCAAATATTTTTTGGTTGTTCAGGCAAACTTAAAACCTGCAAAAAAATAGAGTTTGCAATAACTTTCTTGTTTCACTGAGTACACATTCTAGGTTATATTTATATAAGACATTATTTGAATAACATCTGATGAGCTGATTATTACATTTCAAAACTCCCCAACGGGTGACACATGTGTGGGATCCGTCAACCCTTGGTCCTAGTGGAGTAAGCTCCGCCAACTGTTTAAATATACTCAAATATGCTTTATAACACTATACGTGGAATTTTTCCCAACATCGTTGCACAACACTTGAAAAAATGCAAATGAAAATTTAAAATTATTTCCATGACGCCGCAAAATAACTCCGTCGGTACCTCGGGTTGTATATCTTGACAGTAGGGATGTTCGATACGATCCTATATTTAGAAATATCGATACATTTCACGAGTATCGTGATCTTTCGATTCGGACTGTGTCAGAGAGAGTGACTAACTTCAGTAGTACTTTTCTTCTTTGTTTCCTTTCGCTGGATATCGATAATTTTATTCCAATATTTTAGAATATCGATACTTCCTAAAACGATAAGAATCGATACATATCGATACTTTTCGTGGATCTAAACATCCCTAATCTTGACAGCTTGTCGTTCTTGTCAACTGGGCTGCAGGGTGCGGTGTTGCCTTTACTATCTTACATTTTGCTAAAATCTTATGACAAATTACAGCTTCAAATGAAATATTGACGAATATGAACGGATATGCATAGAATTTAGAATATAAATTCATATTGCAAATTTCATATTGTCTATGCATGGACTTGAACCGGATTTTTCGGTATTTTTACCGAAAAGCGAATATTTACCGATAACATCATTCTTTACGATTTTTCAAAATAATTTAAATATTTCTATACTTGCCGAAAAAGAGCTCAAACCAAAAATAAAGCTAAGAGTTAATTTTATGTAGTCTTCATAGTTTTATGCCCCATATCAATCATACATATGCATACACACTTAGGCAGTCGGGCACTTGAGAGGCGTCGATTTGGGTTGCCTATGATTACGGACGGACATCATCCCTTACTCCGCTTACCCTGAATTGATTTTTGTTCATACAAAAGGTACAGAAACCGAAACCTGTATGTTTTCAAAATAAATATATAATTAAAATGAGAGGTGAGTTCATGAGTTCAGGGGTAAAACAGAAAAATATTCACAATCCTATAAGCAAGAATCGAAAAAGGAGTTTCCAGAATGGTTGCAAAGTACTTTGAAAGAGCGACCAGATTGCACATTGTAGAAGTTGTAATACAGAACTATGTCCTCAAAAAACATGTGTGCGCGCCAAATACAATAATAGACGTTTTTCATGACTCAAAGGTCCTTGATCTACCACTGATCTTGGGACGGCATTTACCTTATACCAAATTCAACGACACTATTTACCGATTCCGTTTTCTTTTTTGCCGGTTCGGCAACACTGCAGATGTGCAGATCACTTTAAAAGCAATTGATATCCCAGACATGTAATAATAATAGAAATAATAAGAAAATATAACAATGTTTGGAGATATATTTTCATAAATAGGTATTTTTGATTCTAACTTATAATATCTAGGCGATGAATAATAGGTGGATGCGGATACTTTTACAAATGTTCTGGACCCAGAAATGCAAAATGTGTTATTTGTTTACATGTGTTGTGGATTTCTAGATCATAACTTGACAAAAATTGTTTTTGATGTAACAAAGGATGATGAACCAGTTGGAATACGTTTTATATCCTTTTTTTTGCAAAATAACAAAATTCGGTACATTTCTACAGGTACGTATTATGTACAACACACTGTACGTGATATACAGACAAAACTAGATTGCCATGCATGAACAGTCGTTAAAAAGAGTGAAAACCAAATATATGTTAATACCTAGAAAATCGACCTATTATTTCTCGCATTTTCATTGGTCCATTTAAATAACTGGCCGCCTTTTCTGAAATGATAAAAATTTGAAATTCTATGAAAGTTATCCTAATTCTAAAGCACAAAGACATAATATTGCATCTATAATGTACCCTTATTTATAAGGCAACCGTTTTTTCACCATTTTATTCAACATTTCAATAGAAATCACTGATATTCAGAGAGCTTTGACAGCTTCCGTCAAATTACATTTCGATAACGTCTTTTCCTATTGGTTCAACTGACAGTCAAATATTAATGTTGGTGAAATTGGCCCTAATTGTTATAATTTTTCAGGTCACCAAGGATCTGAATTTAAGCTAAAACCTTGCACTACAAGACCTCGGAGAGTATTTCAAAATTAGTTTATTTTGAAGTGATTGTTATTCTTGTCTGCCGAACTTTTGATTTCGTAAATTATGCATATGTAGGTACATATAAACGCTACCCAATGTCCCTCGTTTAATCTTTTAGAAAATAAGTTACGTCTGGCAGTCCTGGGATCTTACTGTATGATAAGCGATAAAAGGCTGATTGTATCAGATTGGGCTAAATAGTGTTTTGCTTTGCTCATCCACGAGAATTCGATATAGGCCATGATCTAATAAATTTTCAACGAAGTGCATCCATCACTACATCACACAAGTCCTGAGAATGTCTGTCAGCTTATCAATCGCACATCAGATATTAATGAGTGGTAATGCAACAAGCATGAAGGCAATCAAACCGTGTATGTGAACCAGTGTGTCCAGGTTAGAAGAGCAAACAAACACAAACTAAAATATTAAAATATGTAAATGTATTTGAATGCTTCACAAAATATCATACGAAATTTAATGTGAAGGTACGTAATCTGTTTGTCAAGAGCCATGTCGGAAATCAATAGTCATCAGCCATAAAGTGAGTAGGACTAATGCATATCAGATCTAGATAAATAAGATACGCTTCACACAAAAATTTCATTTGCGGATATCACACGAGACGTCGGTTGTTAAGCTGCGAAAGCTGTAAGTATCTTCAACTAGGATACAAGACTTCAATCTCTCCCAAATACACCATGATAATGATTTGATAAGGTTGAAAACTATCAGAATATACTTTCCAGAGGGAAAATATTGGTATGCCATAGAAATAACAGTTTTAGAAATTACCCCTTTGTTAGATGTTGCACAATAAGGAATGATCTTGGTCCATTTGAAAGAGTTCTGCAGTCTATGAGAAAAGATCGCAATTTTACATGCAATCTGAAGATATAATTATAGACAATATATATTT